CCCCCTTTGCTGACGTTGTTTTTTACGATAACGACCCGTGACATAGTGAGTAACAACAAAAAAATTCGAGGAGCAACGTGTCGCAATTATGCTCCCCAATTGTCGACATCAAAACACTCACAGATAAACGGCGAAGTCAGTTTAAAATGTTAAAATTACTCACCGAGAACAGGGCTTGTGGACAGCGGAAATACTTGCTCATTGAACCGGATGTGGTACCGTTCTTGGGTTTATTGTTATTCTTCTTCTCGGTGGATTGGATCTCCTTGGTCCATATCGCCCCCTACTGTCCAGGAAACCACAAAGGCGTTTGGCTTTGGCAAGCAATCTGAATCTAATTTACATTATTAGTCAAGCATGCAAAAACATAAAGGGAATTGACTTTCCCAGTTCCAACTCGTCCAGAGGATCATAAACACTACATCAAAGACCAACATGGTGTGACAGCACCTGATAAAGTTTTCCAGAGAGTTGTACTTTTCGGTGGGACCTTCCTTGTCAAATTGAGAGCCACTTCAGTCGAAGGTTTGTCATTCCTATTGGGCTCCAGGAGACGTTGCCTTACGTTTCGTTCAGACCTTTTGTCGTGTTGTTGTTTTATTTGTTTTTAAGCGTCAACACCGTTCACGACTGGCGCGAGCCTCCCGCGAGTTCGCGGTCGAATAATACAATGATTCTTACTGCTGTTAGCTGACATTGGAAAGCGAAATCGGGTTTGTTGTTTCCCCTTGCCAATGGCGGGTCCTCTGCTGGAGTTTGAGACCGAAATGTTTCTGACCCCGTCCAACTGTGACGGGCTGCTCGTGGTGGCGGAGGGGCTGGGAAGAGACCGCATTCTGCTGGAGTTCATGCGGGTGGACTCGGAACAAGGTGGCCTGGTTCTTCGACTTCAGGCACCCACCCACGAACAACCAGCCCCCCCGCGCAGCTCAACAGCACAAAGAAATTTTGAGGATATTCAGAAAGAAATAGCATGCGGTCATTTTATACATCTTGATTTCTCCAGCACTTACACAATAGCTGTCATAAAGCGCTGAAACAATGAGTAAAGTTGGCTTGCATGTTTCGAAGTGTGCGTATGGATGTGAATTTGCACTTTATTCACGATCGCCATTAAAGCAAAATGACCAAAACGACACGCTCCATTTGTGCTACTCGTCTTCAATCGTAAACGAAGTCACCACCTGGTTAGAGCGCTGCTTTACCAGCGCAGAGGTGCAGGGTTCAAATCCAGGTCTCGGCCATCGTTTGCAGAGTGTTCATGTTAAGGATTTTAATGACCAGTTATGTAAAGGTCTTTTTGGGTTGTTACTTGTGAGATTGGGACAGCAATGCCATTATGGTCCACTGGTTAGGGGCATCTGCTTAACAGTGGAAGATGCAGGGTTCGAATCCAGGTATTGGCCTTTGTTTGCATGTCAAGCTTTTCTGACCAGTTATGTAAATGCCTTTTTGGGTTGTTACTTGAGAGTTTGCTGTCAAGTTTGCATGTAACACTTTTTGACTATGTGTGTGAAGACTTTTTTGATTTGTTACTTACAACCACAACAGAGCAGCAGTACCGTGGTTGACTGGTTAGTGTGTCGGCCAACCAGCGCAGAGGTGCAGGGTTCAACTCCAGGTCTCGGCCATCGTCTGCGGAGTGTGCATGTTAAGCTTTTTTGGACCAGGTATTTTGCAAAAGCCTTTTTGGGTTGTTTTTTGTGATCTTGGCATAGCAACGTCACCGTGGTCCATTGGTTCGGTCATCAGCTTAACAGCAAGAGATGCAGTGTTCGAATCTAGGTCTCGGCCTTCTTGTCCCACGTTCTTCTCACAAGCTGACCACTTCGCCGCCCAGCAACAAGCAGACTGTCATCCGGCTTGTCACTTTTTTCTTTGCTTTGCGATTGTCTGCTCTGCATAAGAAATAAAGCTTGATTACAAAGAACACTTTTACTCTCAACTTCATTCACAACATTCTCACGTATTACTCATCACAAAAATCTAAAGTACTGCAGAAAAAAAAATTCTACTTTTTTTTCGCCCAATTTTTCAGATCCCCCCCCCCCAATTTTTTTTCTTCCCCCTGTTATGAATTAGAGGTAAACAATGCAAGGGACGTTGTTACATTTTGATGGTGTACCTAATGTTTTGGCCAGAGAGCATGAAGTTCTCTCCTGTGCCAACGGGCCCACACACAGAGGGCCCTCGCAGACCTCGGGGTGTTTTCCCCGCCTCGGCCACCTCTCGGGACCCTTCCAATTGCCCCGTCCAAGAGTCCCTTAAAAATACCCCCCCCCCGCCCCCCTATTTCATAGACACGGAAACAATTTATGGTCATTACAGATCATTACAGATAGCATCTCCAAAACTTCCCGTTGTTGACTAAATGTCTGCCAAAGTGGACGCACGTGCGCGCGCGCAGACACACACAAACGAGCGCGCTGGACAGTCAAAGGAGTTAAAGAGGAAGAAAACGAAAACAATGACGCAGAAGGGTTTGTTTGTTGGTTTGGTCTTAGCAGTTTGAACTACAGCAGCAGAGATTAGACTATAAAGAGAAGCAAAATAAAACATAAAAGCAGCATGCAAGAGCGACGGACCACCCAGAACCTTCTTGGATGTGACTCACGGGAGTGTTTTTCTTCCCCCTCAGATAAGCTGGTTGCTACTGTGAGACAGTCTGGGCTGATTAACTGCATAGTACCACCATCAATGTACTCCGGGAGAAAAATTAAGAAATGATGATGGACGATGCAAAGCGTTGGGGAGTTTTTCCATCTAAAATCTGCTTTAAGAGGTTGAGGTCAGGGCTCGGTCAAGTTCTTCCAAACCAAACCTATCAAACCTCCGAAGTACTTCATTTCAAATAGTAATATGAAATATAATAATGCATTGTTAGATCACCGACGTCCATGGGGGAGGTAACGGACACCCAAAGAATCCACATTCTCCTCTTGCACCAAATCCAATTGACAATCATGGAAACTTAAAAAGAGCGGACGCCGTCTGGGGCAAGACGGAGGGGAGGAGGGGGGATGTTGAGGATGTTGGAGGGAGGGTGGGGTGGGGGGCTCTGGAGGAAGAGGAGGCCGCCACCAGGAGAGCTCCCAGTGGACGTCGGCTGGCTGAGCAGAGCAGCAGGAGAACGACGGCAAGGTGTTGCTGCGGGAGACACACACACATTTTTTTGGGGAGGGGGGGAAAAAAATATCACATAAGTGCAGACATGTTTGACACTTCTCACTATCCCTTCAACTGTTTCAACTATGATGGAGACGCGTACGCATCTTGTAGCACGGACCAGGAGAAGAAAATGTGTCGGCCCGCCTACAGGTAGGAAAGAGCCAAACTTTGCTGTTTCTTTTCCATTTTTTTAAAATTCCATTTTGAGGCAAAAAAATATCTTGAGGCGTTTTGATGGCAGCGTACTAATGGCCAGTCTTAGTGTTCAACTTTGTGACAAAACAGGCTTTCGGTTGTTTATCAAGCAAGCAGCCATTATTACAAAATTCCAATTATTCCGAAAAATACATAACACTCAATATTCATGAGTCACATGAATGTGCATTGTTAAAAATATGTATTAAGTATACCAGAAATGAATTGACAGCTTTGTTATAATTGTGAGTAAATAAGATTTAAACTAACGAGTTATTTTCTCGAGGTAAGCACATTTGAAAACTTCAGTTTCGTTTCAATGATTTTATAAACACATCTGAAAATAGCATCATTGAAATACATTTTGCATTACGGTAACTTTTTAATAGGGATTCTGAATTAGTTTTTTTTCCTTTTAACTTTGTACTTCTACGTATTTCACTCGTTCAGATGACACATATGTATATATATATATATATATATATATATATTAGTATTTCGTATTTATCACACCCGAAATGAATTCAGTATATTTTAGGGTCATTTCAATTTAATTATGAATATACTGTAAATATATATATATATATATATATATATATATATATATATATACATACACACACACACACACACACACAGTTGAAATCTTGATCCACTTGCCTAATTGACACGCGTGTATGCGCCCGCGTGTTCACGTCAGCTACATCGCCCTGATCGCCATGGCGATCCAGCAGAGCCCCGAGCAGAGGGTGACGCTGTCGGGCATTTATGAGTTCATCATGAGAAGGTTCCCTTACTACCGCTCCAACCAGCGGGCCTGGCAGAACTCCATCAGGCATAACCTGTCGCTCAACAGCTGCTTCATCAAGGTGGCCACGCAAGTAAGATTTCATTCATGACGAAACATTTTGGGAGATTTAAAGGATCTCACTGTCACGTCGCAGGTTCCCAGGACGGAGGGAAACGAGAAGGGAAAAGGAAACTTTTGGACTTTTGCCACAGGATGCGAATCCATGCTTGACCTCTTTGAAAACGGAAACTTCCGACGGCGCAGGCGCAGACGCAACATGAAAATCGGCCTCCGCGACACGGGAGAGGCTCCGCCCCGGCCTGCCGAGAGCCCCGGCAAACAGCGCGCGGCTGCGGTCCGCCCTCCCGAGGCGGACCCTGACCTTTGCCCTTTGAACCCCGGCAGGCCTCGGCCACGCCCCGTGCCAAACCCCCTCGCCCCGAAACCGGAGTCGGAGATCAAGTTCAGCATTGACTACATCCTGTCGACCCCGGACCCGCCCGCACCTGGGGTCAGACCCTCGCATGTTGGCCCAGCAGGACCACCCGTACACGTTCTGGAGCCTCAACACCTGAACCTGCAATTCTGGGCCCTGTGAGGGTGTGTGTGTGTGTGTGTGGGGGGGGGGGGATTCTGGATCAAACTGTGAGGATTATTTTTTTCTTCCAAAGACGATAGTCATTGTATTGACTTTAAACTCTAATTAAATGAGAAACAAAGTAGAAAGGTACAGTACAACGTTATGGCTTCTAACGCAGAGAGAGAAAAAAAAAAAAAGAACAATATCGGATTTAAATATACGGCATGCACAGATAGGATAGACAATAGTGTCCCGTATACATATACACGAGCTAAAATACAGAATTTTTTTGTTGGTTGGACGATGTTAAAATCGGAAACATTTCATTGAACCAAAGCTCAGGATTAGCATGTAGGCGGCCTGTTACGCCCACACCGGCGACGCGCCCCAGCCCACTGCCTAAATTCTTTCTTTGTCGCTGACCTTTGGAAATCCTGATTGACTGACACTTAAATTCTAATCCACTTGCTCCTTATTATAACACATTATATGCACCTTCTTGCTAATGAAAAAACAAAAAAACAAAACAGGTCTGGCAAACACATATTTCCTGTGTGAGGGAGATCAATCATACTTGTGCGGCGCTGAAGGGACATTTTTCAATTTAACCTTTATATAATGTGTTGACTACATCGGGGAACACACTTAACATGAGTGGCATTTAATATAGCATAACACTTGCAAGGTGAGGCCCAGATGTGACCCTATTTAAATAGTGAGAGGGGGTCTGGGTAGCGGCTGAGCTTGAACAACGTCGCCCCCCCCCCCCGACTTCCTTTATACACACACCTACAAACCCCCAATGCGATTCTAATTAAACACTTTATGCCTCCTTTGCAAATGCCCCTCATCGATCCGCGCAATTTATTTATTTTTTTGCGTGAAGTGCCCCCCAGCAAACGTCTGCAGCAGCGCCAGCGTTTATGGATCAGCAAGTTTCCATTAAGAAAGTTGTTGATGTCGAATAGTGGGCCACGCCGTGGATATATTTGGGTAAATTAACTTAGCATAAAGTGCTCCGAGGCTTTTGGCTGCCCGGACCGATGTCGAAAAGCGAAGGCCAGAAAAGTCTCGGTATGTTTTGTGCTCTGAGAGAGTGTGGGGGTCGTGTGGAGCTATTGGGCTATTAAATAATAACAAATCCCTTGAAATCTTGCAGTAGCTCCAGCCGGCGGTTTCGTAATTGCTGACGCCGACCACGCTCCCCATTTTTTTAAGTCGACGTGGATAACTTCATTAAACGTGTAAAATGAGCAGCTCGGGGGCGAGAGGAAGTAGCGTTGCAGGTCGGATTACATTGAGAAAGCCGTCGATGTGAGACGTTCATAAATTCATAAACACAAACGGGTCATTTATTTTCAAGTGATTACAATGAGGCTGCGGAAGCACCGGGAAGGATAAATATCGGACAATTATTTCTACAAGTTCCGATGAGGATGTTTCCTTCATTGCGTTCTGCAGGCTAACTAAAAATAAGTATAGTTCTGTAGCATGAAATCATGATGCGCCGGCAGCTAAATGAGCTTTGTTGAAATAGCCTCGAGTCTTCACACTCACCCACAGACAAACAAACAAACAGACGCATGCGTGACCTTTAACAACATTCAAGTGGCGGTGCAACCAAAGCAGTCCTCTTTTACATTGGCCTCGTAGTAATGAGAAAATCAACTCAGCATGTCAATCGATGGCCGCTGGGTGACGTGTTTTACATTTTTTGGTTGTTGTTTTGCAGTCTGATCATGAAAACAAACTTAACACCATCATGTATGAAGCAATTCGAATCTGTACTTCTCTCTCGGGCAAAATATTAAATTGTTGAATGCGCAAAAAGAAATATTTATAATTTTAAAGCATTCCAGAGGTGATGAATGATACCGAATGATATTCTGAGTAGCATGGAGACCAAGTTCTGTGTTGCACGGGAGCAACATTGCACTTTATGGGGAAATAATATGCAATGCAACTACAGTACAATGCACCACAGTTCTAGCCGCAGTTCCCACTTCCTGCCACTTGGGCTGACGTCAGTGTGCAGTACCTTTTGGCACCCGCCAGAGGCCGCTGGGAAGCTGCAAGAGGAGTCTCCACTGTGTTGAGCTCGGCAAAAACGTTGACCTCCAAAGCAGAATAAAAATCTGAAATCATCCATAAGAGAAAATTCAGGATGTGACCACTGTCAAGAATAACAACACCACTTTAATTTTATTACTAAATTCTTGGACAACAACAGATCAAGGGAACTGTGACTCAAAAATGTCATTTACACAACAATCTTTTTTTTCTCAGAATGACAGCGTTTTGAATATAATAAACGTCAAAAAGGTAAACCAGTTACCTGTTTGCATCACAATTCGTCACACTGCAAGTGTTCTTTTTTTTCTGGTGCTTACGTTAACAGACCCTTGCTTTTATTTTGACCGAAGGGGAGAGAAAAAAAAAACAACTCCTACCAGAGTCAAAGGAAGAGGATGAGGCGATTCCAGACGACCAATTGGGAAGGCCCTGGTGTGGGGCCCATGGGGCCCCCCTAAGAAAGTCAGGGTAAGGGAAAAAGGGGTGGTTAAATGGCAAGCGTTTACTCCAGGTCAGCCAATTAGTCTGGCTAGTCAATAAAACGCACAAAGTCAGGAGGATGTCACACTGCTAAGGTTTTATTTGGTTCATGCAGATGTCAAACAAGGAGAAAATCACACACTTCCACCGGCAATTCTCGTAAGTGTTCGGTGATGCACACAGAAGCACAACGTTCCTCCGAAAGGAGCGATACTGGGACCCAGTTACACATCGGCAACAAAGACGACACAATAGCATGAACGGAATCACACGGGGGCTAGCGGAACACCGGCAATGCACGAGGTATGTCAGTAAAAGTTCCAAAACTGGAGTCAAAGAAAGATCTCTTTGTAAATCCAATTACTTTCAATGTCGGCCCACCTGGAGTCTCACGCACTTCCCGAGCCTTTTCTGCAACGCCTTCATGCTTCTGTCACAGTTTGCATCCACAGCTTCTTAACGGATGCCCTTGATGACCCCTTGACCTTTGGAAAGAGGTGGGGTGGGGGGGAATCCCACGGAGACGTGTTGTCATGAACAACTCTTGTCTCTTCCCGTGCACTCAATGATTATGACAGGATCTCTGTGGATGAGTTCGAGGTTTTGAAATGGCTCTTTAGCGACGCCAGTCCTGGAATTTTTCTGACACACCTCTTGGGTTGAAAAGTTCAGGGCGGATAGAGGATGCGCCAGTCAACCTAAAAAAAAAAATTAAACAAAAGATGGATCCTTCATGTCTCAATGACACGTGATGCTTCTTTACACAGGTTTACATTCAGCCCACAAGAACACCAACAGAACCACTAACAGAAGAGACGTCAGCTAGCAGCAATGTATAAAACATATCAAGACTCCATAAAAAGCCACAAAAATAAACGACTGTCCTTATATAGATCATTTCTCCATATAGTTTTCCTTGAGCGCAATAAAACCATTTAAAACACTCATCTGAAGGGGGGGGGGGGAACAATTACAAATAAATTATTTCGACACACCCTAACTCTTTAATGAATTACACCTAAGTGCTCGTCACGTAGCTGATTTACAACCAGTAATAGTTCAAATGCCACGCCGCAGTCAAAAGCGCACGCTTGCGCTGAGCACGTGGAACACGTTTACTCCCGTCAAGAGCATGAAAGGTCTCGTCGGTGAGCGCCCGAGCTCATTTCCGGGGAACAAATAGTGGGCGCCGAAAAGGTCAGACCCTCACGTCGGCGTCGAGGAAACTGCACAAAAGGGGATGAGATGATGGAACCATGCGGTGAACTCGTCATTTTCGTATCCAAGGGCAAAACGCATTTGGTCCTTTGAACGAAATAACGAGAAGAATAGAATACGACTGCCTCCTCAATTCTCTTCAGAGCATGAAGGTGGTCACACAAACAAAACGAGTCAATTACACCTCAGCACGTAACCGCCTAACACGGCGATTTGAAAACTGACACACACACACACACACAAAAACAAAAAAGCAGATTGGACCCCAAATAAAACAACTATGCCAAACACTTTTTTTTTTTTTTTTTTTTTTTTAAAACGTCAAGTTCCCGTTTCTTGTGCAGCATTGTGGGGCGCATCCCTCATGATACAGCAGCCAGGAAATGTTAAGCTCATCACCCCTCGCCCCCCCATTACAATCCCACTGTATATTAAATTTGTCATTTACACATTTACAACCGACCTCATGTCGGCTTGCAGAGGGACACAAACGGAAACAATATTTTCGTAGGAATGCTCGGGACAACCTAAACCAAACCGGAGGATTTCCTAACTAAACATAAATGACTCACTCGTCATGTGTCATATGCATGCTGGGAGGTTTTCGGGGACTGTAAGAAGCCAAAAAAAAAAAAAAAAAAAAAAAAGGGCACACCCAGTTTACGACTACATGCTAGCGTGAAGAGACACGTACCGGGACGGTGTCATTTCATGCCGCTCGTCCCACCCCTTTTTCATTTATTTTTGAACATATGAAAATAGACCGCTTTGTTTGGTTTTTCCCTTTTAGACATACAGACTCCCTTTCAATGAGGATACATCCCTGTCGTGGATCTAAATAGTGTTATTGGACGTGTCTCGGTCCATCCAGGCCATCCTCCCAGGTGAAGCCGACGACAGCTCTACATGGCAAACAAAGCGTCCTCCTGTTTGTCCGGCTTCTTGCGGCTGGGGGTCCCCTGCGCTGCGCCGGGGTCGCCACTCGTGGGCGATGGCAGGTTGGGGACCATCTCTGCAGCTTTGGCCCGCTCCTCAAGGAACTTGTCAAACTCTGCCATCATAGAAGCAAATAAAAATTAAAAGTCTTAGCTGGGCTGCAACGACTGCTGAACGGTTGAGTAGACACACGCAAACGCTAATCTACTGCATGAGGGCTCTGCGATAAACAGGAGTTCACTGTACTGCACTTACCTTCACTCGTCACGCCCTCCTCGCCTTCCTCTCCTTTCTGTCGATAAGAGACAGGTTTTAAATGTGACACTGCACACAGGAGGAAAAAAAAAACCTCCCACTCGTAGTGGCGGCACCTCAGAGCCAGCATGCAAGCAATTGTCGATAAACAAACACTCATCCGTTCAGTCAGATTACCCTGCCGCCTCTGAAAGTTCTGAACTAAAAATGACATCAATGTGCATCGAGAGAACCACATACCCTCAAACGCGCGGATGGTGATATTCAAACATGAAAGGATTGCATATTTGAGTAAAATGAGCATGCGCAGAGACCGTGCAAAAGCAGATGCAAATGAGTTGGAATTGATGTTTTACAATCTTAGCACATGGGCTGCATTTGGGGGAAGATTTAAAGAACGTTACATGGGTAAAACTGTCCGACTACAAGAATAGCAGTAGAAGAAAAGTAATTTGTTATGCTCATTTTTAACAATATGCTGCCATGTTAATGACCACCGGTTCCCACATCGGCGTGTTAGCAAAATCATCTAGGATGTTAAAATTGGATGATCAGAGGGGGAAAAAAGGTGTAAGTGGCTACTCGAAGTAGCGAGACAAAGGAGAAGACAGCATGAACAAAAAAAGTAAAGAGGAGGCAGAACAAAAATCAAAAATCATGATGGGCTCACCACATCAGTACTGAGCCACTCCTCTATGTCATCCATGACAGAGGACTGGCCTCCGACACACTAGAGGGCGACATCAAAACGGCCGTGGGGTGGGCCATTGAGGGCAGCAAAGCCACAAAAGAAAACAAAACCCAGCCCCAAAACACAAAAGATGATTATGACTATTTTTTGAATGAACTTACAGCAACTTAAAAAAAAAAAAAACAAAGAAAAAAATTTCAATGGGATGAACAAGGTTGGTGTAAA